ATATATTTTTTTTTTTTTTTTTTTTTTTTTTTTCACAATGTGTGTTTAAATAAAAGAGACGTGCAAAATTTGCAGAGCAGTGGGGCACAAGGGCCGGGAGGGGACCCGCCTAACCCTAACCTAACCCTAATCCACAAAGTGGTAATAATTGTTGAACATTAATCAGGATCTTAAATCCTTAAAAGTTTTTAATATTTAGATTTTAAAATAAATGTATAAACTTTTGTAAAGCTATACTTTGTATTTGTATCTGCGTCAAATTACAAAAAAAAACAAAAAAAAAAAAAAACGACCACTTATGCAAGATGTTTCTAATGCAATAGGACAGTACATCTAAATGTTTTCCTTTCTTCTGGCTACTGCTGTCAGTCTCACACATTTTGTTTTTCATTTTCTGAAAGTCTTGATAATGATGTTGTTGGGTTTTTCTATTATTATTTGAGCATATAGGACAGCAAAACGTTTATTTGTTGTACTCTCCTATTTAATGCAAGTTTAGCCAACTATAGCAACTTCCGCTGTTGAGAAAACCTGATGAAAAGCTGATTGAGAAATGCAGATGTAGACCAACCAAGTCAGAAACATGCTCAGGAAACAAGCCATAGCGATATTTGAAAACCTTTGAAAACACTATACTGAATTCTGTAACTAATTGTTAACCAGTATAATGAAATTAATACCGGAGTAAAAGCCTATCAGCTGAGTTCTGAACCAGAGAGAGCAGATACAATGTGCTGCAATAATGCAGACTAGAAGAAATGTAGACATAAATAAACAACTATCTCCAAATCATTGATAAAGAGGAAAGACTTAGCAATAAATCCGATATTTAAAAAATTGAAACATAACATAGCAAATTATTTACAAGATTTAAAATAGATCTCCGATGTTACTAGAATGTGTATGTGAAGTTTCAGCTCAAAATTTACCCTACAAATAATGTTTTACTCTCCTTTGAATCTGCCCCTTTTAAGCTTTAACCTTAACTGTAGTGTTTGGGTTACTGTCACTTTAAATTTAAATGAGATTGTGCTCTTTTTTTAAAGGTGGAGCTACAAATGCTTACGTGTCAGAATAGTGGCAGATTCAAAAACAAGATTAACATCCTATGCTAATGAGGGACAGTGGGCGGGGCTTTCCCCCTCTGATCACACATAAAAAAGGGAGAGTCAAAGTCTTTCTTCAGACTCTTTTTATCAAATTTATACATTTTTGGAGATTACTTCCTCTATCTTTATCAAACTACAACTCCCCCAGAACTCTTTGCACTCATCAGCCCCTGCCGCAGCTGACAATAATCCTGACACTCACACGCAGACACAGCTGTAGCTCATCTTGGGGGATTATTTATTATATAAGATTTATATGTACCCCTCGCTTTCACAGACACTTGGCTGAGTCTTGTTTCTCCCACAAACATTACAAAGAATTTTTCCCTGTTTGTCTTGCCTTGTTTTGATTCGTGTCTTGTTTACTGTTTTGATTCTTTGCCACCTAGCCTGACCCTTCACCTGCATTTTGACTACGTTTATTGCATTATCTTTACGCTGCTGTTTTGCCCCTGTTTTTGACCATTGCCTGCATGACTTCTCTTTAAGAGTTAGAAGCTGGTTGTATTCACAGATTGTTGCCACACAATTGTTTTTAAACTCATTCTAAGCACGATTTTTGCTGTAGGTTTTAAAAATCTGTTTAAATGAAGCGGGTGTTCATTAATGCTGATGATACAAAAGGCATCTTTTTAAACAATGTGGTTTGGGAAATATTGCAAAGCGATATTATTTAGTTTCTATTAGGGTTGTGCCGATAGATGATGCAATCGTCCATCGTCGATGGCTAACAAACTTCACGATGAAGAGCCAGCATCACAATCCATCGCCCCTCCCCACATTTAAATTCAAATATAACTTATTATTTGCACGTCATCTTAATAGCAATAATGGTCTTTCATGAGCTTTGGTAAATGTTACATATAGCTGCCGCTTGCACGGTTAACAGCATCGTGAGGGTAAAATGAAGAATTATACAGCACCTATCACGCTTAAAATGTGTAGATTCAGTGGCAAACGCTATTACCTGCAAACAGACTTAACAGTGAATGGCTTTAGTCATTTTTATAGCGGACTTGAAGCCACCGGAAGTCTTAACATTCAAAATGAATGAATGGATGTTTTACAATGTACTCTTAAATAGCTGGTTGGTAAATATTGCAATACCTAATTTAATAATGAAAAAAATCATCATTAAAAAAGTACAAAAATACAGTCATTAAGTTCATTATACATGTGCATTTAAGTCAAGAATACAGGATTTTTAGCTGTAGTTATAAACTGCTTACTAATGTCTGTTAATGTAGATTAACAAATAACAAAATACCAAAAGCTTCAAAAACTGTGAGTCAGATCAAGTTTACTTTAAAAATGTGTATTATACAGTTGAAGTCAGAATTATTAGCCCCCTTCGAATTTTTTCTTCTTTTTTAAATGCTTTCCAAATGATGTTTAACAGAGCGAGGAAATTTTCACAGTATGTCTGATAATATTTTTTCTTCTGGATAAAGTCTTATTTGTTTAATTTTGGCTAGAATAAAAATTGTTTTTCATTTTTTTAAACTCCATTTTAGGGACAAAATTATTAGCCCCTTTAGGCTATATTTTTCTCGATAATCTACAGAACAAACCATCGTTATACAATAACTTGCCTAATTACTCTAACCTTAACCTAATTAGCCTAGTTAAGCCTTTAAATGTCACTTTAAGCTGTATAGAAGTGTCTTGAAAAATATCCAGTCTAATATTATTTACTATCATCATGGCAAAAATCAAATAAATCAGTTATTATAAATGAGTTATTAAAACTATTATGTTTAGAAATGTGTTGAAAAAATCTTCTCTCCGTTAAACAGAAATTGAGGAAAAAATAAATAGTGGGCGAATAATTCAGGGGGGCTAATAATTCTGACTTCAACTGTATATATGTCTTATGTTTCTGTCTTGTTTAGTGTGGAAGGGACTGTTGAAAGCAGTGAGCCTGGCCCTTCCGTGGACACCAGCATAGGATATGGCCGTGGGCCGGTCACTCACAGTTCTTCCTTGAGTCCGGACCAGTCCGAAGGATCTTTGTACAGCCACAGCATCCAAAGCGGCCCGCAGCGCCCTCAACGGCCCAAACTACAACACTCTCAGTCCATCCTGCGCAAGCAAGCAGAAGAAGAGGCCATCAAGCGCTCTCGCTCCCTCTCTGAAAGCTATGAGCTATCTACAGACCTTCAGGACAAGAAGGTACAGTGCCATGACTGATGTTTTAACTACACTATTGTGCATTAACTGTAGTACACTTTAAAGGGTCACGAAACACCAAAACACATTTTTTTGAGATCTTGACAGTCGTATATGTGTCCCACACTGCTAAAAACACTATTAAGACACCTATATTTCACTAAAAAGTGAACATTGGTTGTTTTTGCGTTATTTCAAGCAAATTCGTTCTTTCGGTTTGAAACAAATTTTTGAAGCTGCGTCACGACCATGAGATCTTAGCGAGTATTCCAGCATGTAGACTGGACGTCTGTACCTGGGAGTGCCAATTGCCGTCACTGAGTGTGCTGCATTCATTCATGAGTAAGACTTGGTTCAAACCAATCAGCGCGCTCTATTGTGTAAGTGGTGCAACTTCATTAATATGGATGATAGCTTCGAAGACAAGAACAAGAATTGTTTGGAGTTACGGGTCGTCAGTGTTGCTTTTATAATTTGCTGCAGTGAAGGTTTTGTTTTCATTTTCTCGCTATGAGAGCGCAGCTGGACTCGCGTGTGGATTATAGTGCACGCGGCGCGCGACAGAAATATGTGTCTAAGGAACATTGTTTACCCGAGAGCTTTTCTCATCTGGAAATTGTGAAGTCCGGATTTTGCCTCTTGTCTCCTTTTAATAAAGACACAGCTCCAGTTGGTGTTGATTGTCCTGTCTCTACAGATTTGGTAAGTGAGCAATCAGAGGTATTTGTTTGTTTATTCAGAGGCAAAGCTAGTTTGTATCGTCAGCAGTACTCTTTCAGTGTTTACAGACGGACCTTAGTCAAATGATTTCTAAGTTACTAAAGTTTACCGTGCGGTAATATCTCTACAATATTATGGACTGAAAAATCTGCCGTAAATGCTGCTCTCTGAGTGTAAACATGTTAGCACCACAATAAAACATACCGTTGTGTAGAATTTTCGCCGCATTTTGTGACAGAAATAGCACACGGCTTTCTGATGCTACCTCCCGAGTGCATCTAAGTTACAGAGAAATGCGGAGGTTTTTTTTTCTCTCATTCGCAGTGAGGAATCAAACATTGCATGAAAAATGCACGCTTCCAGCAACCCCTCCAATCAAATATCTCATTTGTCACGAGGGGCATGAATGAAATTCCTGAATGAAAGACTGCCAAACTGCAGTTAAAGTACGCCATTAAATAATTTGGCAAATAATTCGATTACTGATGTCCTTGTTAGCACAGTCACTGTCTTTCACCTCTGCGTCTGTGTGTTTGTTTTGCCTCTGTGAAAATCAGTGCGTACCCAAACCGACACTCCCATTTTTATGGTAATTTTCACAGACCTTCCTTCTTTCCCTCCTCCGACACTCCCCCAAACAAAGCTAGACACGCCCACTTTCCTAACTTTTTCCAAAGTAGAGGTGTGAAAAAACCCCGCTGAAACAAGTTTCATGGCCCTTAGCAGTTTTACGTATTTTGTGATTAATGTTTTATGAGTTTTATGAAGATTTAGAAGTTCAAAAATCAGCAGAGTAGAGGTCAACAACCCATAATGCATTTCACAACCGTAAATAAATGAAAAAAAACTCCATTGAAAATCACAAAATGTGAAATTTTTTTAATAGATTCAAAGTCTTGTTTGTTTTAATTCGGCTAGAATAAAAGCAGTTTTGAATTTTTTAAAAAACATTTTAAGGTCAAAATTATTAACCCCTTTAAGCGATATAATTTTTTGATAGTCTACAGAACAAACCATCGTTATACAATAACTTTAAATTAATTAAGGTTAATTACCCTAAACTGCCTAGTTAACCTAATTAAACTAGTTAAGATTTTAAATGTCACTTTATCCTGTATAGAAGTGTCTTGAAAATATCTAGTCAAATATTATTTACTGTCATCATGCCAAAGATAAAATAAATCAGTTATTAGAAATGAGTTATTAAAATTATTATGTTTAGAAAAATTTTGAAAAAAAATCTTCTCTCCGATAAACAGAAATTGGGGAAAAAATAAACAGGGGGGTCAATAATTCTGACTTTAACTATATATATATATATAGTCAGAATTATTAGCCCTCCATTGAATTTTTCTTTTTTTATATATATTTCCAAAAGTATGTTTAACAGTTTACTAGAGCAAGGAAATTTTCAAAGTATGTCTGATAATATTTTTTCTTTTAAAGAAATTTGTTTTCTTTAAAATATGTGATTTGTCAGGTTTTTATTTTTAATAATTTTGCAATAATTTAAAAAAACTCTTTTTTCACATTGTCATTATGTGGTAATGTCTGTAGAATTTTGAGGAAATAAATGAATTTAATCCATTTTGGAACAAGGCTGTAATAAAAAATGTGGAAAAAGTGAAGCGCTATCAATACCGAAAATATAATTAAATATAATTAAATAATTAGACTTTCTAGGGGCATCCAAATATAATCTATGGGAAACACTGAGCAGTATTAATATGTGTTGTATCTCCAAATAAACCCTAATTGCTTTTTCATAACGCTGCCTAAATCATATCATTTTTGTTTTTTTCAAGGTGGAAATGCTTGAGCGGAAATATGGAGGCCGTTTCATAACCCGCCATGCTGCGCGCACCATCCAGACAGCTTTCCGGCATTACCAGATGAACAAGAACTTTGAGCGCCTCAGGAGTTCGATGTCCGAGAACCGCATGTCCCGCAGGATCCTGTTGTCCAACATGAGGATGCAGTTTTCCTTCGAGGCACCTGAGAAGGTCCACAGCTCCTTCTTTGAGGGCAGACAGATGTCTCTCATGGAGGAGAGCAGCCATATAGGAGCAATGGTGCAACCTGGAGAGAAGGTTCCTGTTATCCTGGAGGCTCCAGAAACTCAAAATGACTTGACAGACACAATAACGGAGCTAGAGGACACTTTCTCAAAGCAGGTAAAGTCGCTGGCTGAGTCAATCGACGATGCACTGAACTGCCGCAGTCTACACAAAGAGGAGATCCAGCCTGAGCAGACGGTTTGTGAGCTGCAGCAGAAACGGGAGCTTCCTCAGCCTGATGAGCACCACAGGCTGGACGAGATCTGTGATGTGACTCTGTTCATCGATGAGGAGGAGCTCTCTCCTTTGGTACAGCCATCCAGCGCAGAATCTGATCAGCACACTCAGTCCGTCAGCGCCTCACAGGAGTATTGGTCCATGGATGCTAACATGGACACAAGTGCCAGGAGCACTCCATCCCTCGATTACCAGAGTCCAAAGCTTTGTGTGGACTTGCCCGTGCTGACAATCGAGCCTCCCAGCGACAGCTCGGCAGATGCGAGTGATCGTTCGGAGCAGGGTTTGGTCCAGACTCAAAACGTTCCCAAACAGACCACAGCAGCACCACGGGCCAATCCCAAACACGGACTCCCTGCCAGAGTTCCCTCTCTTTCTGGTGAGGAAGAGCCACTGAGACACCGGCAGGTGGTGAGTCATCTGGCCACCAATGGCAGCCGGCAGAGCAAGTCAGAATCTGACTTTTCCGATGGAGACAATGACAGCATCAACAGCAACTCGAACTCTATTGACACAATCAACTCTGAGTCCTCTTCCAGTCAGCAGAACCTCAGCAAACAGACCTACCACAAAGACACTCGCAACAGCTGGGACTCTCCGGCCTCCAGCAGCGACATCATGCGCAAGAGACAATACCGCATTGGTCTCAACCTCTTTAACAAGTATGTTTTTGGTGAATGAATCTAATGCGCATTTTATTATCCAAGACTTGACTTATGTTTGAGATGCATATTATTTCTATATTGAATAGACCAGGGGTCACCAACCCTGTTTCTGGAGAGCTAGCTTCCTGCAGAATTCAGTCCCAACCCTGATCAAACACACCTGAACCAATTAATAGTACCTAAAGCAGCAAGTGATAATTAAAAACAGGTGTGTTTGGTCAGGGTTGCAACTGAAATGTGCAGGAAGCTAGCTCTCCAGGAACAGGGTTGGTGACCCCTGGAATGGACTGAGCTCATGCCTATTCTTGAGTCATTATTATTGTCATTTTAAGTATTATGTGTAGTAGCACTATGATTAAAAGTGGAAAGAAACAGGTCTATGACCTCAATTGTTAAATAGCGATGAAGACAATTCACTTTTTAATTTCGAATTACCACAAAAAATATGTAATTATAGCATAGCCAATTTATAAAAGGTGCTATGTGTAAGTTCCTAGTCATAGTGCTTCACTTTTCCATATTTTTTAATGTTACAACCTTATTCCAAAATTGATTCAATTCATTTAAATTCTACACACAATACCCAGCCATTTTCAGATCTCTCCAGAGATGTTCAATAGGATTTAGATCTGGGGTCTGGCTGGGCCACTCACCGAGTTGTTGTGAAGCCACTCCATTGATATTTTGGCGGTGTGCTTTCGGTCATTGTCCTTCTGGAAGATGAACAGTTGCCCTAGTCCAGGGATGGGCAAACTTGATCCTCGAGGGCCGGTGTCCCTGCAGAGTTTTGTTCCAACACTAGTCAAACACACCTGACTAAACTAATCAGTGTCTTCAAGATCACTAGAAATCTATAAGCAGGTGTGTTTGATTAGAGTTGGAGCTAAACTGTGCAGGACACCGGCCCTCCAGGACTGAGTTTGCCCACCCCTGCCCTAGTCTGAGGTCAGGAGCACTTTGAAGCAGGTTTTCATTCAGGATGTCTCTGTGCATTGCTGCATTCATCTTTCTCTCCATCCTGACTACTCTTCCAGTTCCTGCTGCTAAAAAACATCCCCACAGCATGATGCCAACACCACCATGCTTCACTGTAGGGATGCTATTAGCCTGGTGATGAGCGCTGCCTGCGTTTCTCCAAACGTAACACCTCACATTCACTCCAAAGAGTTCAATTTTAGTCTCATCAGAGCAGACAGTTTAGTTTATTATGGGCTGAGAGTCCTTTAGGCAAATTCCAGATGGCGAGGGGCTTCCGTCTGGCCACTCTACCATACAGGCCTGATTGGTGGATTGCTGCACAGATGGTTGTCCTTCTCCACAGAAAAACGCTGGAGGCAGACAGAGTGACCATCGGGTTATTGATCACCTCCTTGACTAAGGCCCTTCTTCCCTGATCACTCAGCTTTGATGGTTGGCCAACTCTAGGAAGAGTCCTGGTGGTTCCAAACATCTTCCACTTACGGATGATGGAAGCCGCTGTGCTCACTGGAACTTTCAGAGCAGCAGAATTTTTTCTGTAACCTTCCCCAGCCTTGTGCCTTGAGACAATCCTCTCTGTAAGATTTACAGTCAATTCCTTTATCTTCATGCTTGGTTTGTGCTTTGACATGCACCGTCAACCCTGGGATCGTATATAGACAGGTGTATGCCTTTTCAGATCATGTCCAATTAACTGAATTGACCACAGGTGAACTCCAATAAGGCTGCTGAAACATCTCAAGAATGATCAGTGGAAACAGAATGTACCTGAGCTCAATTTATAGCTTCACAGCAAAGGCTGTGAACACTGATGTACATGTGGTTTTTCAGGTTTTTTATTTTTAATAAATTTGCAACAATTTCAAAAAAAAAATGTTTCCCATTGTCATAATGGGGGATTGTGTGTAGAATTTTAAGGAAATACATGAATTTAGTCCATTTTGGAATAAGACTGTAACGTAAAAAAGTGAAGCACTATGAATACTTTCCGGATGTACTGTAAGAAACATGGTAAGTGAACATAATTATTTCTCTTAAATACAATGCTAATGTCAGTTATTGAGTCAAATTTTTTAGTGTTTTTAATCAATGCCTACCAAACAATACAAATATTACAAATGTAAACATTAGCTGAGCTTATTGTAGTGTAAGGCTCGATTATCAGCCATGCTCGCTCATGTTGGTGTCATCAATCTGGCAACCTGCATGTGCATCGAATTATCAGGGTAAAAAAAAAACTCTCCAATGTTTTGAATTTGGACTGCAATACCTAGTGCAACCACTAGTTGTTAATCCTACATACTGATCTGCACCTTTAATCGTAAACCAAAGCCAAAAATGTAACTGTAGTCAGCAAGTGTTGCTGCATTTTTGCATGTTGTCAAAAGTGTTTGGTTATGCCAGTTCTAATATTATTTATGAAATCTCATTCGTTTCTTTTAGAAGTAACAAAAAAAATAATGAATGAACATTTTTTTTTAAATGTAGGTGATATTTTTGAGCCAACAAAACATAATGGTGACCTAATCTAGAATAATCTACTTCCAGAAAGCCAGAGAAGGGCATTCAGTACCTGACAGAGAGGGGCTTCATTCCCGACACGCCTGTGGGTGTGGCTCACTTCCTGCTCCAGCGGAAAGGCTTGAGTCGACAAATGATTGGGGAATTTCTCGGGAACAGACAGAAACAGTTCAACAGGGATGTTTTGGAGTGAGTATTTACATTTTTTCCTATATTGTTTTTATTTTTACTTTGAAAGAACTACATGATGTCGTAGCTCTTAATCTCCACAAATAAAGTACTCCCACGTGTGGTATTACGTTATAACAGGTGCAAATAATAGGCACAGATCCAGTGTTTTGTACACTCTCAAGAAAAATCTAAACAGTTAGCAAAATGATTTTTTTTTTAATGGAAAATGAACAGTAATAATTCCTTACATTAATAATTCCTTACATTTATATAGCGCTTTTCTGGGCACTCAAAGCGCTTTGCACAATGGGGGGGAATCTCCTCATCCACCACCAGTGTGCAGCATCCACCTGGATGACGCGACGGCAGCCATTTTGCGCCAGACCGCACACCACACACCAGCTGATTGGTGGAGAGGAGACAGTGATGAAGCTAATTGGAACATGGGGATGGTTAGGAGGCCATGATGGACAAGGGGCAGTGGGCAGATTTGGCCAGGATGCCGAGGTTAAACCCCTACTCTTTTCAAAGGACATCCTGGGATTTTTAACGACCACAGAGAGTCAGAACCTCGGTTTAACATCTCATCCGAAAGACGGCGCTCACTGAGCAGTATAGCGTCCCCGTCACTATACTGGGGCATTTGGACCCACACAGACCGCAGGTTGGGCGCCCCCTGCTGGCCTCACTAACAGCACTTATTAGTAATGAAAACTAAAGACTGATTTATACTTTTGCATCATGCGCACACATATGCTCCTGCGCAGCCTTCACGGCGTTGCATAGAACTCACCGTGGCTGACGCAGACACTGACGCACCTCTTAAAAATTTAACATGTAGCGCAGATAGGTTGGCTTGGTAGCACTGACGAGTGTGGGTGGGGCTAAGAGCCACGTAAACCTGTTGGAGTGAGTGTATACAAGTGAAGAGTCCCGTCAAGTTTTTCTGCTTACAACATCCACCATGTAAAGAGTGCGACCAGAACTTAGTCTTAAATGGAATGGGAGATGAGATTGGTTTAATGCACGTTATGTCCAAAAGATACACATAACTTATTAAGAGGATAAGGACAATCATTTTCAGACTGTTTTTCCTGTTTTTCCCTTCTCTAAAGCCTGGTTTATACTTCTGCGTCAAGTGATCGCCATGACTCATGGCGCATGCAACGCGCGTAGCTGTGCATTCATACTTTTGTGCGCTGTTTCTGTGGCTCTGCAATACACTTCCGAAACACTAGTTGGCACTTTGCAGTAGGTGTTATTGTTCCTTTGTGTCGAGTTTCTTCGCTGGTCTTTTGTTTTTTCTGAACGTTTCCTTAATGTACAAGTGGTTCAAACTCGCTCATTTTGAGGCAGGAAACGGCGGACGTGTAACAACTTAAACCATGAGGTAAACATAAACAAAACTTTCCATCCGGAGCTCCTTCACGGGACTCCATACTTGTAAACACTTGCTTCGTCGGGCTTGGGCGGCTCTCGGTCCCGCCCACACTCGTCAACGATACCAAGCCGACCAATCACAGAGCTTGTGCTACGTGTTGTTGCGATGTGTAGTTACATTTTTTGAGAGGTGCGCGTCAGCGCATAAGCCGTGCCGTAACATACACATGCGCTTGATGCAGTAGTATAAATCAGCCTTATGTGCATCTACACACCTTGCGATTTTGTGGGCTCTTAGAATGTTAAATTAGACCCCTAAAAAGTATATCCAAAAACAAATTGTTTGTAGCCCTGCTTAAAAATCCAGCTTAAACCAGCCTAGGCTGGTTGGTTGGTTTTAGCTGGTTGACCAGCCTGGTTTTAGAGGGGTTTTGGCCATTTCCAGCCTGGTTTCCAGCCATTTCCAGCCTGGTCTTAGCTGGTCAGGCTGGGAGATGACCAGCCAAATCCAGCTTGATCAGCCTGGTTTAAGCTGGATATAGCTGGTTTTGGCTGGACTCCCAGCTTGGCTAGGCTGGTCAAGCTGGTTTTAGCTGGTCATCTCCCAGCCTGACCAGCTAAGACCAGGCTGGAAATGGCTGGAAACCATCCTGGAAGTGGCCAAAACCCCTCTAAAACCAGGCTGGTCGACCAGCTAAAACCAGCCAACCAGCCTAGGCTGGTTTAAGCTGGATTTTTCAGCAGGGAGATCACTTTCTGTTCTAATAATAACACCTTTTCTTATAATGTTACCCTGTTTGTGTGCAGTGGCAGTAGCTGTATGCGAGATCTTCTAAGGGATGTGTATGTGTGTGTTGCAGCTGTGTGGTGGATGAGTTGGATTTCTCAGGGATGGAGCTGGATGAAGCTTTGCGGAAATTTCAGGCTCAAATCCGAGTTCAGGGGGAAGCACAGAAG